ACGTAGAAAACAAGGTTTAAGTAAATGGGTGTCCGGAGCGATGCGAAACACCAACAATGTCGACGTGATCCACCATTGGAGGTGAACATGGTGGGCTCCGCGATTGATGACATCTCGCGACAAGTGTCTCGACTAGCCAAAGGCGAGGTATTATTCCGCTTGCTCAGCAGTGGCCCTTCGTCAGGGCCGATTGCTAGTGTCGTCTTCGCTGTTGCATCCAACACTCGTTCACGCTATGCTGTTATGGGGACTCCGGATAGAATCAGCGCTCTCAAATCTGTTTTGGAACAAGACGCGGATCCCCAGTGGCAACCATAGTGCGTCGTCTGGACTGCTGGATCGGAGTACAATTTGACTCATTTATATCTAGCCCACGGTATTTCGGCAACATGGAGGCTAACACGAGAGCCCAGGAGGACAGTCAGAGAGCGCAGGTGCCGGAGTGATTTTCATTTTCTCTAATAACCGCGTGGAAGTTGTTCTACCATCCATTATCTTGCAGAATAGCATGCATTTTCTCACTTTGTGTCTAGAAGGGTGCGCATGTACATGCAACGACGACACTACATATGGATGGAGTGTAAGATGATAGTCTCGCGACGAAGAGGTACAAAACATAGTCTTCCACAGATCCCTAGGCACCCCTTAGATAACAACCTCGATATCCAACAATTACACTCCCCCGAGTCTTCGCCCTCTCACTCCCATGTATAGACGACCTTCAATAGCCCGTAACCCTCTCTAACGTCAGGGATCTAGTTTTGGCTAAGTGGTGGTACGCGGTGGTATGGACGTTGGAGAGTCCGGCAAAAAAGTGGCCATCGACGAGATCGCCTGCTGTCAACGCGCGATATGATTTTACCAGAGTGAGCATAGGTAGGTGTTCACTGCGAATCGAACATTGAAACGAGGTTGTATCGACGTCCGTGACTCGCGCGGTGGGTGGCGGGGCCAACACGGCAGAATCAGCCTCTCAATGTCAATATTTCCTTGCATCTTCAGCCACTACTCCCACAAGAGCCATGATCCATCCAAGGGCAAAAATTGAATCACTACTCCCTTGAAGAGGGAACCGGCAATATACCCTAATAGCTTGAATCTCACGAAAGCATAATAGTATCTTGCGCGCTCCACACGGTTATTTACTTTGAACTTGTCAATAAGAATAGGCGTCAGGTGAGGCGTGGATATGCGACAAGTAGCATTCTAGACGATGTAGGTTGAATCTGGGTAGAAGACGGATACTTCGCGGAGAACTCTGCCGTGTTCGAGTACTCGAAAACTCTTTATCTCCTCCAGGCCGGAAACACTGAGCTGAAAGATCTTCGGTGTGCTCGCGTGACTAACTGCTGTCCGAGCGATCGGTGCGTAACCCGCAAACCAAGTGCGAAGCTCTTCTTCTCTCTCGGACATAATTCAGGATGCAGACTACAGGAATACCTAAAACACATACATGATGATAGCTTCCTCCAGCGTGAAGGATCCCATGCAAGTCTTCTTATCCGACCACCCCGGCCTCTTCTGTTGGACCAAAGCAGCCTGAGCGGTCGTCAAACGAGCAGCGATAAAAAAACCCGATCGGGACAGGCATGTGGGGGGTTCGAATCAATCAGGTAGCAAGATTCAGGAATAAGACATAGAATAGCCAGCCGTCTCAAGGTCATCCAGTACAGTCAGGGCGAAGACACTGTGAGCCGGAAGAGATGTGCACATGTCAGATTAGATTAAAATGTAAGTTGGAGTTGGGGCTTTTGAAAGATAAATCGTTATTACCCACTCCATATCGTGAATGCCGACGATGAGGACAATGACAATAAAACCGACGACGACGGCCAATCTGTTTCCCTATGAACTCTCCTATCTTTGGTGCCGAGCGTTCGCGCGAACGAGGGTCGGTCCAGCCGCGTATCCGTACGACCGTGTATCTCTACGGTGGTTCCGGATCGAATCATACGCTTGGAGCTTAATGCTCGAAGCTCGAAGCTCCGTGCGTGCCTGCCACGATAGACTCTGAATCCATTCTCAGTGATCCGTGGGATAGATGGAATTTCGGTGGGAGATGCCCGTTTCTTATCTCTGGCCTTCACCATTCATAACTGTACTATCGTCCTTGAATCTCTTTGACTTCGCCCGTCCAGCTGCGCACATTTAAGTTTCTCTGCATGGACGAAAAGAAAGCATTGCTCCCGGCCAAACCTTTGACTCATGGCAAGTCAAAATATACCTTAGTGATTCATGGCGGCGCTGGTACCATGGACCGAAACCGCTCTACGCCAGAAATCCGTGCGCAATATAAGGCAGCGCTCTCCAAGGCACTTCTCGCCGGCTATGAGGTTTTGAGTGCGGAAGGCGAGGCAATGGATGCTGTCGTTGCAGCGGTGACGTCCATGGAAGGTACGAGTGTATTTTCTTACTCGAGTGCGAGCCTAGACGACTCGTGTCTTTCAGATTGCCCGCTGTTCAACTCGGGTAAGGGCGCGGTTTTCAACGTCGCTGGAAAGGTATTCAACTTGTTTTACTGTTCGGTTTATCCCAACATATCAACTGCTTCAGAACGAATTGGAGACGTCTATCATGTGCTCCGTTCCGCCTTCTACTCATCCATCCATTCCACCCACTCGGCGTGGTGTAGGAATTACGCTGATCACCCACGCGCGCAACCCCTCCCAGCTAGCTCGAGCGTTGTACTTATCTCCCGAAACGGCCCCACACACTATGTTCTCTGGGACCGCTGCTGAGACACTTGGTGAAGCCCTCGGTGTGCAGATGGTAGACGAGAGCTACTTTTGGACGGAGACGCGCTGGCGAGAACACCGTAGGGGTCTTGGACTTCCCGAGGAACCATTACCGCCGTTCGAGCATAGCGATGACAAGAGCCAAATCCCGCAGGATCTCTTAGACCAGCTTCCAACAGGAACTGTTGGTGCGGTGGCTTTGGACGTGCGTGGGTGCATTGCGGCATGCACATCAACCGGTGGACGGACGAATAAGCTTGTTGGCCGTGTTGGCGATACCCCGCAAATGGGAGCCGGCTTTTGGGCGGAAGAATGGAAAGTCAACGGCTGGGTCAGGCGTTCGTGGAGGAAGGTGAGAGGTAAGGACTCTAAGGTCGCTGTCGGAGTGAGTGGTACGGGCGATGGCGATGTGAGCGCTCTTCTCTTCACAGTTGTCCTTCTCTATATACCTCAATCCAGTACTATATCAGGCTCGCGACGGCCTCCACTATCGGACGTCGTATGAGATACCTTCATGAGCCGCTGGATCAAGCAGCTAGGTATTGTATAGAAGAATTGCGTCGAGATGGAGGGATTGGCGGCATCATCGCTGTGGATCGACAGGGAAATAGTGAGTTCAAAGTCCTCCGGTAAAAAGCAAACGTGACCACTGAAGCTTTGGAGCAGTTGCAATGCCGCTCAATTGCGAGGGGATGTATAGAGGTGTCGTACGTGAGGATGGGGTACCGAAGACCGCTATCTTTGACGATGACCAACTTGATTGAGAGATGTGTGGCCCACTATCTCGTGAGTAGTTCCTGTTTCTTTCCCCTGTTTTCACCGAGTAAGTGACAGTCCTGCATTTCAGAGAGCTAGAATGGGAATCGGCACACCTAAATCAGGACGAGACTCATGTAGTGCAGTTTCCAGTCTCCTGTATGAACCGCGAATATACGTGTCTGACATCATGCCGAGCGTAGAGACCACCTGATCTCACCGCTGTTCTCAGTGGATTTTCTTGGAAATCGCTCGGACACTCGCTTGTCTACGTGCCTGCCGATGCACAAGAAGTTGTCGAAGTGCCGATAGGTACTCCGAGGAATTTGCCCATACAGTACAATAGCCATGCATAGCGCAGCACACAAGAATGCAGCACGCACCTCTCGCTGTCTGCTATACTGGGTACTATTCACCCTGCATCTTTCGATAGACGTATACATCATACTCAATAAAGACGAAGGTAATCGGTGAGAGTGGGCAGTGTGGGGGAGTCCGCATCTGCATTGAATGTTTCTCGCGCTAATTATGCCTTGTTCAGAATTAGAATTTTCGTTTGAAGGTCACAAGATTTTGTCTCCGAAAAACCTCCATGCGAAGGATGTATTTTTAGTGCGCGTTTGGGTCAGACTTTCTGCTCTACAGGTCACGCAGCCTGGAGTGCATGTACCAACACACCCAAGTTGTGCTATTGACCACATGCATGGCTCATCCTTTACGGGACCGAAGCCAAACTCAAGAATCAGAGGTCTAAACATATCCTCATGATCAAAGGTCTATTCTTGGACTGCGTCTCCAAAGCAGGATGGTCGAATGTTTGTACAGTATATAATGGCTCGAGTCCTCACCAAGCGGCTGCGCATTGGTCTTTTATCGATAAGTTAGGGCCATGCTTTTAACTCTCGCTATCCTCACTGCCGTCGTCTCCATTCATGGAGTGTGTGCAGTGCCACAGACCGCTTCAGTGACGAACACTGCTCTCCCAACTGCGACCGCGGTTGTGCCTGGACTCAACTATCTTGCGCGGGAGGCCGGAAAGCTATACTTTGGGACTGCTACTGACAACAGCGAGTTTAACGAGACTCGATACCAGCACATCTTGAACAACTACTTACATTTCGGGCAAATCACCCCCGAGAACAGTATGAAATGGGTGATTTTCATCTATTTGAGAGATGACAGGATGCTGACGGCCCATGCTTATGTTTATGTAGTATGCTACTGAACCCGAACCTGGGGTCTTCAATTTCACCGCCGCTAACGCCATTGCCGATTTGGCCTTCAGAAATGGGATGATCCTTCGAGGTCGGTTCGACGTCCAGTTTTTGCTATCCTAATCATTGATGTCTCGTATAGGACATAACTGTGTTTGGTATGATGAACTACCAGCTTGGGTGACTGCGAACAACTACAACGCCTCCGAGCTGGCATACATTGTAGCCAATCATTGTGGTACCCTTGTTGGCCACTACAGAGGTCATGTGTAGGTCCTTGTACTAGCCTTATGCTGTTTCGTGATACTCACTTTTCTTCCAATAGGTGTAAGTTCATCCTCTACACAAATGGAGATATGACTCGGAATGCTAATCGCCCATACCATACGTACAGATAGCTGGGATATCATTAACGGTAGATATTCATACACCTGCTCTGCGAATATACTGACATGTCACTACCGCATAGAGCCATTGAACGATAATGGCACATTCCGCCAGGATGTTTTCTATGATACGTTGGGCGAGAGCTATATTCCGATTGCTCTCAGGGCGGCGAGGGCAGCAGATCCCAACGCAAAGCTCTACATCAATGATTACAACATTGAAGGAGTTGGTAAGTACTCGGTCACATCGACGCTGATCGTTTGCACGTCAGTTAAATTGACCCCTTACCGATTACATAGGTGTCAAGTCCACGGCACTCCAGAACCTGATAAAACAATTGCAAGCTGATGATGTGCCCATCGATGGTGTTGGCTTCGAAAGCCATTTCATTGTTGGCGAGGTGCCTACAACACTCGTGGAAAACATGCAGGCATACGCAGCTCTCGGGCTCGAATTCGCCATCACTGAACTCGATATTCGAATGGAACTTCCAGAGACACCGGAGTTACTGGAGCAGCAGAAAACTGATTTCAACACAGTCATACACGCGTGCATGTCCGTCCCGCAGTGTGTGGGGGTGACTGTATGGGACTGGACAGACAAAGTAGGCGTTCTGCACCATAAACCTGAAGATTCTGATGTTGAGCCATTACTACAGTTCTCATGGATTCCATCGAGTTTCCCTGGCTACGGCGCAGCATGTCCCTGGAGCTCGGTATGTTCCTACTTGACCTTAAGTTCTGATGTAGCAGCTCAATTTTACATGCACCCCAGGACTACGTCCGGAAACCTGCCTTCGACGGCATTGCGATTGGTTTTGAGGGCGGAACCATTTGAGATGTATCATGTACATGTACTCTTTATGCTCTCTTCCACCAATGATCGAGTTGTCCCCGTTCTAATATTACTGCTCATACACGGAACCGTGTCAAACATTATGCCGACGATTAGATTATCGAGCACGTATGCACATGTATTTGCGGAGTGAAGGTTCGAAATCGAATTCAATTGACCGGTCCGGGTCTTGTGGACGAAACTCTCAAACAGCTGACCAAGACTTGGTAGATAATAGAACTCATGAGAGACAATCTACATGTAGAGAGAGCTCCATCTGACCAACACAATGTCCTCCAACGCGATCGTCCTTCTGGATATCCCCTGCGTCGTCGAAGGTCATGTCTGGTCACCCAACACATGGAAGACGAGGTAACTCGAACTAATCTCCGTAACAGGATAATGCCTGACATAATCGCACAGATTTGCTTTGAACTACAAAGGCCTTCCTTTCACGGTGAAGTGGGTCGAGTATCCCGACATTGCGCAAGCATGCAAAGACATTGGCGCCGATCCAACTAGCACTCGTGCAGACGGGTCTCCTAACTACACACTTCCTGCGATCTACGATCCGTCCACCGGCAGGGGCATAGCAGAGTCTGCCCTGATTGCACGATACCTTGATAAAACATATCCCGACACTCCTAGACTCATTCCTGCAGAAACAGATGTGTTTCATGCAGCCTTTCAAGAAGCATTTCTCCACTTAATCCAGTCGAAGATGCTGGAAATTATGTTGTGTCCAACCGCCGCTCAGCTAAATCCACCCAGCGAGGCATACTTCCGAAGGACCCGGGAGGCAGGTTTTGGAAAGCGATTGGAAGAGCTTTCGCCAGATGGAACTGTTCGAGAGATGCAGTGGAAACAGTTGCAGGAGAGATTCACCATAATGGCAGGATGGTTTTCTATGGACGGAAACGACAAGCTATTCTTCATGGGAAACATCATAAGCCACGCCGATACTAGCGTTGCAAGCTGGTTAATATGGGTAAGGCAGGTGCTAGGACCGGATGGACCAGAGTGGATGGCGATTCAGACGTGGGACGGTGGAAGGTGGGCAAGGTACATGCAGTACTTCGAGAAATACGAGGTAGCCAGTGCTTGACAGCAGCCTACAAGGTTATTCAGCACATAAAACCAGGATGTACGGGTGACTAGCACGCATGATAGGATCGAACACACATCGCCATCATAAGACGACCAGGTCGATGGAGGCAGCTGGTGCGCTGCCCAGCAAGCAGGGACTGGCATAAGTGGCGAAGTATTGAGCCTTCAGTTCCCACATTTGCCATCGAGATCCCAATCCTTCGCATGGTCTCTAAAAGATAATGAGCAAACCACACCCCTCTCTAGACATCGCACTTTCAGACGCCCTATTTTGTACAAAAGCCGAGTACGAATTGGCCAGGGTGCGTAAGCACTTGTCCCTTTTTTTATGCTATCTCGACCTGGGCCCTATGTCTTGAGATGGCTTCTTTTGAGAGCATTGTTGCATTCGCTAGTGTCGGAGAGGAAAGAAAATTTGAGGAAGATCGAGGGGCTGAGCGGTACCTGTTGATCGGACGAATATGGCGCCCAAAGAACACGGGGGATTGCTTGTTAATTTTACGTAGAAGAAACGGAGGAACAGGGGGCTCTATGCGGACGCATCTACGAGGAATATCCGTGTTCTCAGTTTCTTCCACAAATTGGGGTTCCAGGAGAACGAAACTATGGGATGTGAGTCAGCCGCCCTATGTAGCAATGTAGACTATTCTGAATCTAGAAATATGTCTTAGAGCCTGGGTATGTGAAAAGCTCACCTATACGATTCCATCATGGGTACTTGGAACGAACCGGGTAGCGGATACGTTCATTGCCGAAAGCAGTCGGCGCCAAAGGTGCTGAACAACACGCACAAACAACCGCGTGGCGCCACCCACGAACTGCGTCGCGACCATAGTGACACTTCAAGGTCTCTTCAGCATTACGTCCTAGAGGGTTGCAAGTTCTGCGCAATACTATGTGAGACTATAACCACTTTATGGTTCTTGTGCATTTATATACCTACTGTCAACGTGCGCGATCAGATTTCTGTTGTCGCAAATGGGCTTTATTAACTCGTCCACTAGGTCTCTCATGTTCATGAGAATTACCATATGAAATGGATATTCGTCTTTGATACTTCGTACATCTCGCCCATTGTGCTCCTCGAACCGTAATTCGCGCGCTCGGAGCCAGCAAATTCAAATTCCCCTTGTTCCTCAGGAATCAATAGGAGTCAGAAGTCATTGTCTGCTCGTGTCTGCGGCTTGGCGTTTGGCCCATTTGCGGTCCTAGTAGCCGAAGATACTCCTCATTACTGGCCAGCCCACATATTGCTGAATCATCTGCTGCATTATGGAATAGGATTGTTGGACGCAGGTCTCTTGACCTTCATGGTACGTACGGAGTCGGTCCAATGTCCACATGTCTCGCCATCCTATCTTCCATTTCTTGGTATAGGCCCCTCTTCTAGAATGCTGTCCTTGCGGATCGTTCCCGCCTCTTCTTGAGGAAATGTTGCCTGACGCTAAGGATCTGACTCGGAAGAACTCTAGGCGCTACCTGGACCTTGTGGTTGAAGTAACTGTTCTGCGTATGTCGTCTGTCTTATGGAATGTGCACTTACACGATGTTTCGGTGTCAATCTCGCGCCTCGCTACTGGCCTTATGATATGCTCTCCCATCAGGGGTGCCCATCGGCGTGTATGGAATGAACATAGCCCCCATTCGTTTACAGCTTCCAGATACATATCGCGACTGTCACATGCGTGAGCATTCTAGGTGGCCATCTCCACACATTTCTGTAGGTATAAGAGAGGACAGGCTGACAGCCGACTAGTGTGGTTACTGGCACATTCGCCCCCACCTCACAATGGCGTTCTTATCTCTACTCTCGATTGTTGCATTATCTGTCTTTTTCCATGGCGTCACCGCGCAGACTTCAACGACATCGGCTCTACCAACCTCTACGGCTGTTGTTGAGGGATTGAATTATCTTGCGAGGAACGCTGGGAAGAAATATTTCGGAACTGCCACTGACAATCCGGAACTCACCGATACCACCTACACTTCCATTTTGGAAAACTACGAAATGTTTGGTCAGATTACACCAGGAAACAGCATGAAATGGGTATGGTTACAAATATGGCTTTCGCCTTACTATTGCCCCTCATTTTGTATTGTTCCAATAGGATGCCATCGAGCCCGAGCCAGGCGTGTTTACGTTCACAGACGGTGATGTTATAGCGGAGCTTGCTTCGTCAAATGGCATGATGCTCAGAGGTTGGGTTCTTCATTCTGAGAGAAGATCAGTCCGACCTTCTAATTCTACTAGGGCACAACCTGGTATGGTACGAGCAGCTTCCCAGCTGGGTTACCGACAATAATTACAACGCCACCGGCTTAACCGAAGTCATTCAAACGCATGTCACTACCGAAGTTGCGCACTACAAGGGTCAACCGTATGGACAAATCCTTATACGTGTGTGATACATTACTGATGTATTGTCTTCCACAGATGTACGTCGTGAGATCCGCCCTTCATTTTGCTTCACCGATGCTGAGCACTGATTCACATCGATTTTCCCTCGATAGACGCGTGGGACGTCATCAACGGTAGGTGGACGTTTGTGGTCGTAAATTCCCTTACCCATGCGTTGTTCGTTGTAGAACCCCTGAATGATAATGGTACAATGCGCGAGGACGTCTTCTACAATACATTGGGAACGAGCTACATCGAGATTGCTCTGACGGCCGCTCGTGCAGCTGACCCGAACGCCAAGCTGTATATCAATGACTACAATATTGAGTATGTGGGTACGTGGCATGTCCATAATATCTACCGTTGCAGCGTCACAAATTTTGTGTCCTCCGTAGGCGAGAAGTCGACTGCAATGCAGAATTTGATCAAGTCGCTCCAAGCCGCCGATGTTCCCATTGATGGTGTGGGCTTAGAGTCCCACTTCATCGTCGGCGAAGTCCCGACGACGCTCGTAGAGAACATGCAGGCATTTGCCGACCTTGGGATAGAGTTTGCCATCACCGAGCTCGACATTCGTATGGAGCTCCCGGAGACAGCGGAGCTTCTTGAACAACAGAAGACCGACTTTTATACCGTCGTGAATGCTTGCCTGTCCGTTTCTCAATGCGTGGGTGTTACTGTTTGGGACTGGACTGACAAGGTGAGTCCCTTTCACACACAAGATCACATTGATTCCATCCTGAAATACTTATTCTAGTACTCCTGGATTCCCTCCACGTTCCCTGGATATGGAGCTGCTACGCCGTGGGATGACGTACGTGCCTCAAAATGCTCAGTGCACGCAGAGATCATTGATGGCGTGTGAACAGAACTACCAGCGCAAACCTGCGTTCGACGGCATTGCTATCGCCCTCGAGGGTCAAAGCATCTAACTTGCACTAATGCGCCCGTGATCAGTAGGTTTGATAGCATACGTTGTCTTGAAGTAGCGATTGTGGCTTGTACTTCTAGGGTCGTTTTGAGTGGGCACTTTACCACAATGCAGCTGCTTTCACATCATCTCGGACGATCTGATTCAACGTTGGAAACATCCACTCACCGGTTGTTTGCCTTGTACTTTGATTTCCCTTAATTAGCTGCACGGCGACATTCACGAACGGAATAGAATGCGACCTCGCGCCCAAGTCGGAGGTGCACAGATCTCGCTTTTAGGACTCAGCATGTTCCTAACTTACGAACGCCGAGGGCCAGACTCCCCCTCCTTATTCCACATCTGATTCACAGCACTTGTGACATTGGCTTGGCATCCGGTCAGTCGAATCCGAGAAGCCGAGAATACTCCTCAGGGTTGGCTCTGATGTGCGTCGCTGAGTCCTCGCAAAAGGGTTGTCGGCTTGATGGTATGGCCATGACTTTCTTACGACCGTCTGATCTTCCACTCTAAAACTAGGCAAGTGCCTGAGATTCTCTCTGTTCTGATATGTTCTGGAATGAGTCGAGGACGGCTGTTACTGGCGTTCAACCACCTTACTTCGGAAGAACCTCATCCCGGCCCGCAGCCGCTGGTCGAAATCATCACACTCCTAGGTCACGTACTTCATAAGAATTCACCGAGGTATGTGAGGCCATGTTATTGCAGGAATGCTCAAAGTATACCTTCTGATCATGCTTACAGATCGGGGCTTGCAGAAATAGCTCCGGTTCTCATAACCTACCGGAAGCAAATTCGCTGCCCCTCAGTTGTGCGCTTCCTCGGAACTCGTGTTGACAGATATAAGGAGACCAGTCTCGAGTGACATCGCTGGTGTCGCCACTAGCAACAAATATCCCCCTTTGACCATGGCGTTCTTCCCGTTGCTTGCAGTCCTTGCGACGTCCGTCTCTTTGCGTACTGTGACGGCCTTGCCACAAACCGCTTCAGCAACGACTGCTGCCTTGCCCACTGCGACAGCTGTCGTCCCGGGGTTGAACTATCTCGCTAGAAATACCGGAAAGCTTTATTTTGGTACTGCCACTGACAACCCAGAGCTCAACGACACAACCTACACGGGAATCCTGGAGAACTACCTGCACTTCGGCCAGATTACCCCCGCTAACAGCATGAAATGGGTATCCTTCCCGTGTCTTTACGTTTCAAATTGGTATGCTGAGTATGGCCTTCTGTAATTGGTTCCGATCAGGATGCCATTGAACCCGAGCCTGGTGTATTCACCTTCGAAGCCGGCGATGTGATTGCGGAGTTAGCCCGGTCAAACGGCATGATCCTTCGAGGTATGGCAAAAAAGCTGCCGCCCCTAGAGTATCCTGTGACCATTCAATTTCGTATTCAGGACACAACTTGGTGTGGTATTCACAGCTGCCCAGCTGGGTCACCGCAAACAACTACACCGCGGACGAGTTAACAGCAGTGATAGAGCAACATGTCTACACTGAGGTATCACACTATGAGGGGCAGCCGTAAGATTACATTCTTCACAATGCGTTCGCTATTGCTGATCGGAATCTATTCGTAGTTGTACGTTGCGACACATCTTAGCAGCCTGGGCGTTGTACTAATGCTATTTGTTCAATCAAGATGTATGGGATGTTATCAATGGTAAGCAATTGGCGCCTTTTTCTTGTTATTAATGGTCGTTGATACTGCGACCCCCCCAGAACCGTTGAACGACGACGGGACGATGCGCGAGGACGTCTTCTATGATACCTTAGGAACAAGCTATATCGAGATTGCTCTCCGCACAGCGCGAGCAGCCGATCCGACAGTCAAACTATACATCAATGATTATAACATCGAATACGTCGGTATGTTTGGCGATCACCTTCTGCCATGCGGGGGTGTTGACGTTTCAGGCTTCCATAGGCAACAAATCAACTGCGATGCAGAACTTAATCAAGGAGCTTCAGGCCAACGATGTCCCAATCGACGGTGTCGGCCTGGAGTCCCACTTCATCGTCGGTGAAGTGCCAACCACGCTCGTAGAGAACATGCAGAACTTCGCCGCCCTTGGAATCGAATTCGCCATTACCGAACTCGACATCCGCATGGAGCTCCCTGAGACACCCGAGCTCCTCGAACAACAAAAGAGCGACTTCTATACAGTGGTCAGTGCTTGCCTAGCCGTCCCCCAATGCGTCGGTGTAACGGTATGGGACTGGACCGACAAGGTTTGCATCCTGGATTTCTGTACGTTATTGCATATGTACTCAAGACGTGTTTAGTACTCTTGGATTCCTTCCTCATTCCCCGGATGGGGAGCCGCTACGCCTTGGGATGCGGTGAGCGGGTTCAGCTGAGCATGGAAAGTAATTGCTAATACAGCGTGCAAACAGGACTTTGTGCGCAAGCCTGCATTTGATGGTATTGCTCTGGCATTCGAGGGACAGCCTGTCTAGTTCACCTCGTCTTTTGTGTCCGTAGTCACGACACGAGATGGTCCGAAATTGAATGAATGTGGATGTGGCGCAGACTCATGTATGTACTACATCTACGAACGCAGCTCGATACTCGAGCGTAGTACACGAAGGCCGGAAGAAGCATATAGTCAGCGACACCGTGACGGTGGCTCGCAGGGACGCTTATTGCCGATCTTCCATAAGCAGTAAGTGAGAAAGTCGCCCAGACACCTGTCTCTAGGCTCTTTGGCACCCACTACTTGACCGCTATGTCTGAACTACCTCGTGTATGCAACCCACCCTCGAAACGTGGACTGACAAATATGCGAAACTATCTGATCTGCTGTGGACAGTGGATCTGTGAAACAGTGCATGTAAAAACGATGTCAATGTGCTTACTGCCTCCCTGTTGTTGTACGCGATTCGCTGGGACGGCGCCGGCGTGCCAGCATCAATGGTATATCTTGTGATGAACCGTTCTCTAGATGAGCTTGAGAATGATGCCTGCTTCAGGCAAGATTACATGAAAATCCTCCGGCTGATGATAGACTTCAACACCTTACCTTGAAGTTACCGGGACCCATTACCTTGCGAGCCTAATGTTCTTCCGAAGCTCAGAGATTTAATTCCCAGAATCCAGATGGAATCAAGGTTGAGATCAGGTGATTTCAGACTTTGACGTTTTGCTGGTTTGGCAACTGATGATATACCTGAGGCCCAGTGTCTGGTCGATTCGCACCTCCACCTAATCACCACCGCCCGCGTTTGTGTGGATACTATTCACATTAATGCACCGTGTCAGGCTTGGAGCTGCAGCTTCGCAAGGTGTGCCACTGAACAATCATAGCCGGTCGAAGCAAGATCAGCTGCCTTATAAATCATGTAAGGGGCATATTACTTCGTAAGTGTCCGTGTACTTCTTTGCTTCATTGTTCTGCCTAATAAGTCTCTCCGCTGGTAGCCCCATTGAGACGAGCTGGGCCGTTGTGTGTACAACTAGTCTCAATAGTCGAAGCAGCGTTTTCACCGATATCGGCACGCACAGAAGATCTTGCTGTATGTATGGGATCTGGAGTCATCCATCGTCTCCGATATACACGCTTTTGACTCAGCGTGATTGTGAACAAGCTTTCTGAGCGTCAGCTTCCCTTCGGAGCCTGATGGCTGTACGCGCAGAGAGTACCCAAAGTGGTAGCGACGCTAGCAGAGCAATATCCTTCAATATGCGCCGCGTTGGCTGACAATGACGGGAGTATACGACTCGAGGTTAGGATGATTTTCTATATCTATTCGTGCTAAATTTATGGAATACGCGCTGTAGTTCTGAAATAGTAGGCTCTGATGGGGCGAAGCTTCTAAAGACGCCCGAGATTACTAGCTTATAGAGCCCACTTTTGCAGTCGTAATACCCAGTGCCTACCATCGCTCTGCATTCAGACGACTAAAACGCCTTCAAATTCCTTCTCATCAACATCATGCCTTTTGCACCAGTAGGCAGTGATGGCGTACAGTTCTTCTATGAAGACAGCGGGGCGCCCGCCGCATCGGATTCCTATGTTACCCTTGTGTTGATACACGGCGGCGTCTTTCATAGCCGTGAGGTTCGAATCTGTCTAATACGATTATTTTCTCATCCTTTTGCTCACATATAGCGATATACCGGCCCATGTTCAAGCACGCAGCGGATCACAACCTGCGCTTCGTAGCTTTGAATCTCCGGGACTATCCCCGCACCACACCTCTGTCCGCAGCCGAACTCGACGCGCTGAGAACCGGCGGGAAGGAAACTCAGAGAGCCGAAATTCGAGCCCGAGGTTTGGAGATCGCTTCTTTCATTGCGTGGTATATCGAACATGAAGGCATACCATCTATCACTTTCTCGTCTGGTGGCGACCCTGTCTCCGGGGGTGTAGCGGTGCTTGGATGGTCCATTGGGAACTGTACAACGATTTCCATGCTTGCAAATGCGGATACTCTTCCGTTAGATGTGCAAGGCTTGCTTGGTCGGTACATGAGAACGCTCATCATATACGGTCAGTGGCCCCTTTATTGAGTGTGAATGCGTTGGCTCATTAATGTTTATTTGCAAATATTACAGATCCCCCGTATTTCGCCCTCGGAGGGCCCGATATGCTGAGGTTCAGACCTCAGATGATCGATCGCACAAAATCTACAAAAGATCTGGGACACACATTCTCTCTCTTTGTGTCAGGATATTACGCTCACTCGCCTTCATTCCTATCATCTATCGCTGATGCCGATGAGGCACAGCTTGATGCTGGCATGGTAGGACATCCTATCCTCGACCCCCCTCCGCACCATGTCCCTACACTCAACCGTATGACTGACGCACAATTGGCCGAGTGCGCCGACTACTCTGTTTATGAGAAGTCGCAGGTGCTCATGATACGTGTTGACCGGACTATCTACGATGACAATACACGCCGTGCCCTGTTCGACAAGACGATCTGGCCCCATCTGCGCGTCGAGTATGTCTGGCTCGACATGTCCCCGGGAGAAGTGATCCATACCGTATGGTATATCCATAAAGTACTGGCTGAGCCACGTCCCACGCAGGGGCGTGCGGTCAATGTGAGGAGAATCGAAGGAGCAAATCATTTCGTACGTTCCGTTGCATTTATCCCCTTAAAGGAGCGTCTGGATCTCAATTTTCGTGATTGCAGCCTCATTGGGACCAGCCCGAGGCCACTGCGAAATTTTTTGGAGCCTTATTTTAGAAGGGTGGTGTCTTGTCTGGGTGGTGCTTCTACCCGCTGAGAGCTAGTATGAGATGCTTGTGATGAGTTTTACAGTCAAACTACTGGATGTTGGAATATATTGGAAGGGGCGTGACCCTGTGGCGGCCTCTAGAAGTTAGCTCGACAAGTATAATTCTGTTGATAGTTGAATAGATTCGCGCGTCTGGTATGTCACTTTGCCGGAGTGGTTAACGGGATCGCCTGCTACTTGTAGCTGCCAGCGGTTGGGCTTTGCCCGCGTGTGTTCGAATCGCACAGGTGACGCGTTTTTTTGCTTCCTTCTGTCGCATGTGATCGTGATCTCCCCCACGTGTTTGTGCGACACTCGACTGCCGCATCTGCCATCCTGCCGCAACAACACAATGAGCGCGAACAAGTATGCCAGCTTGCCCGACATTGTGAATTCGCTGTTCCGTCTTCGTTTTGTATGAGCTCCCACTAAGCATTCTCATAGGATACAGCTCCAGATGTCTACGAAACTGATGATATTTTTCCATCTGCAAATGACAACGTACGTTCGTCAATCGCCCCTCATGCTGATGCTTTAATGTTCTACTCCGTGTGCCTCAGAAAGGCGATTCAAGTGACGAGGAGATAGGTGTCACTTCCAGATCTCAGGGCCGAGGGAGGAATGGCGAGCCTTCTGGTAGAGAAGAGCTAGATGTTACCAATCTCAGCGTAGAAGAGGCGAGCAAAAAGTTCAGGAAAGCTGAGAAAAGTATGTGAATCTACGGTGTCTTCGAGGTCTCTGAGTATCTAATCGGTGAGACTTATCATCGTCTTAACCCATGACGGATGCGTGGCTAGAACACCACCGTCCTCGAATACAATACGTCTACCCCCCTTCCCCGACATCAGACACATCACCGTCTCCCGCCGCTACACCTGCGATGCCTCTATCACAGCGTCTGCGACGCCTGCAAGCCGAATTATCTTCTTTGGAAACAGAATTAGAGGATCCATCGAATCCGCTTTTGCAAAAAGAGAGAGAAGATGGGCGCGACCTAGGCGAGCTTATTCGCGGCATGGTGGACGTGAAACGTCGTCTGGAGAAGATAAGCAAAGTGAAGGAGGGGAGAGGAAAGCTTGTCAGCGTTGTACTAGGAGAGGATACGTCTGTCATGGACGGCACGAACGATCAAGAGGAACGCGCCGAGGCAGTAGCGAAGGCGGTGGCTGGTAATAGTCTTGAGTCGGCGACAGTCGGAAAACCTCCGGACGTCAAGGACATTGCTGAGATGGACAGACGCGTAGGAGAGTTGGAGAAGGTAGTTGGGTCTTCCAGCACTGCTTTGGATGAGGTATGTTGCTATTGACTTGGAATGCACATCAAAGTCATTGACATGGCGCACAGCTTTCCCCGCTTCCACCGCCCCTACTACCTATGTTGACGCGTCTGAATGCACAACTTACCCTGCTTACGCAGCCACGCCATGTCGACTCCATCTCCCGCCGCCTGAAGCTGCTCCTATCAGATCTCGACCGCGTCTCCAATTCCAGTGCCCACCAACATGGATCGCAGCGTCGGCAGTCCGCACACCCACACCCCGGTCCCGCGTCCCCACATTCTACATCTGCTGCTTCCTCTGGGACGGCACCGACCGTGCCTCCTGCGGTGCATGAGCAGCTCGCCCCCATTCTCACGCGTCTCGCTCCCATCCTTCCGCATATACCACACATTCTCACGCGCCTACGGACTCTCAGTGCCTTGCATACGTCGGCCGCGTCGTTCCAGGGCACGCTTGAAGGTCTGGAAGAGGAACAACGCAAGACACGGGCTGCGCTGGAAGAGCTGGAGCGTGCGGTGTCCAATCTGGAGGCTAGTATGAAGGAGAACGAGGATGTGGTGAAGCGAAACGTCAGGGAATTGGACGAACGCGTAGAGGAAGTGGGGAGAAGAATAGAGGATGTGGTGAAGCGAAACGTCAGGGAACTGGACGAACGCGTAGAGGACGTGGGGACTGGAATAGAAGATGTGGCGAAGAAAAATATCAGGGAATTGGACGGATGCGTAGAGGAAGTGGGGGAAGTGAAGGTCGATGAATTCTGAGCTGTACAGGCTGGTGGACTCGGTTGTCGAAGTGCGGGGCTGTGACAGTGGCCTTCATTCCGTGGGTCGTCCTTGCTCGCCGGCCTCTATGCTAGGTGTGTATTCGAATACAGCCGTCGTCGCGCCCCTCAACGACGTGTGCCAGTTTGAACCCTAGTATGCTCTTGCAGGCGCTGCTGAGTATGTGTGGCGTACTTACTGTATAGGTCGAGGATGAGGCAGTACGTCACAGACTTGTCATGCGGCAGACTGACTGCGCTGGCGGACCCGTCGGCTCAGTCGACAGCAATGACTCCTGCTGGACACTGTCCGGACGGATCACTGACGTGCATCGCGAGTACAGATCCTTGTGTCTGTGGCTATCCATAGGCAGGAATTGGATATGTATCGTCAGATCCCTGCGGCTGCATTCATGATAGGGAGAGCACGGAACGGAACGTCATGACGAGCCACTCCGGCCCTCCGAGCTGCGAGGTCCCATGTTTGTATTCGCTTGGCGGGTTATCTGCCTGGGATCAACGTCGACCTGCTGGTCGGCCGACAGAACAATGTTGGGACTTGAGCAGCATCGACACTCAAACAATAAGATAAATGACATGCAAGCATGTTGCACGTGCAAAAACGATATCTCCATGGAAACGCATGCACGAAGTCGAAGACGCACTCTTACATGAGCAGCGGCAGCGCCTCTCCTCCAGTCTCGTCCTAGTATGTCGTCCTGTGGGCGGCGGGGTATAACCGCACAGCCGACGGAGCTTGCGGACGCGGTGTGATAAGACGTCCCGAATGTCTGGGCCGTAAGTCAATTGCTGGGTGCGAGCCCGATGGCGATTGCGGACGAGCATCGCAGCCCGGCGTGAGCGCGCCGCGGCATCCAGTGACTCGACGCGGTCACGTGGTCGCGAAAATGCCTCTTATGGACACGTTTGGTTCTTCGAGTCAGCGTCTCCGGTTCGCTATGACTTGTCTTTTGATCCAATGCCACCGCCGTTCTCGGACAGAAAGTGCTATACTCGGCTCATGCGTTCACTTGGTATGGAGGAGAGGTATTGCGACCAGAGGGGCACATAGGTTTTCCCCACTTGCTAGAGGTTGAGCAGCTCTAGTTGGACCACACGCAGCGACTGCGCCTGTCACTCGTCCGTTTCAACTGAGACGTAGTATGCGGGAGGGCAGCCACGAATAGTGATCTCCCGACTACGCTCTTCTATGATGCTCTGATCCTTTGATAGGAACAGTCACGGAATTTTCACGTTTTGAGGTAAGGATGGCTGCTTCTGCGCAGGTACCCACCCCAGGGATACTTGGCGGTTGGCCGAGTGGTCTGACAGGATCTCACCTTGTCCCCCGGTGCCGCTGATTCAGCGTATTTCCGATTATTGTGCTGTGCACCCGTTGACTCATGAACACGAACACTGAGTATCCTAGGACGCGCTCTCTCTTAATTTAAATACTCCAGGAAGTGTCCCCAATCTCTCATTCTATTCCCTTCCATTCTCTCAGAGCTTTCCGTGCCTTCCCAACAAGACTCCTAACGCATCTTCACCGCATTTATCGACCATGGGCGAATCCTACCGTACGTTCTACCAATGTTATCAATGCCGCTGCGACTAATGTCGACTTTTATTCAGACTGGCGCATGCAGCTTAACAACTACCTCCAGAGCAACGGAGGTTCCAAGATATTAACTTGGGATGTGTACCAATCTGGCCCACAACACCAGCCTGTTTGGACAGCGATCGCATACAGTAAGTCGCAGCGGCATACCCGGGTCATGCACATCGATCTGACACCTATTCTAGTACGAGGGGTTGAATATGGTAGGAGCATGGGCTCCAGCCAAGGCGGTGTAAAAGAGGAAGCAGCTCGCCAGACGTTAGCTGCCCTCTATCAAGATCGAGGTGCCCGGAGATGAACCTCGCATGACGCAGGTGAGTCGACTCTACATGGAGGACGATGACTCCCAACTGAGTCACCGAGCCAGTCCGCATGTGAGATCCCGCCAGTCCGTTCCCTTGTTTTGTTTTGCTCTGTAACTGTTATCGTTATCCTAAATTGTTTGTATCCCGCCTTCCCACTATATCTTAAATTGTAGTATTCCCCTAGTTGCCTTCATATATGTATGTAGAGTTTTGTCGTGTACTGATATTCATAGTCACCTGGATGGACGGACGTTTTTGTAATGCACTGTATACCTTCTCTGTCATTGTTTCAAACTCACTTTTTGCATACATCAATACGTTGTCATATCTCTCCGCCGAGAGTCTGAGGCTGCGGCTCTAGTTTATGAGAATGACGCAACTGGTCACCATGTGGATAAGACTTGCTTGTCTCACGCGTACCATCGCAGGTGTTAGGCTGCGCCCGCTGTCGTGTTTGGAACGGGGAATTCTTACAATAGATAAGTCGTATGTGCGCGCAGCCTCTTTAGGGTGATCGGACCTCACCGTTACTTAAAACGCCACGCAATCATTACGCGTACAGCGCTCCCAATTCCACGTAGTGCAACGTCCATGTGCGCCCAATTACACTTCAACCAACTCTGACTAGTGTCAATTAGAACGAACGTTTATAGCACATCACTTATCCAGCGTGCAAGAAATCTAGGTTGGCTACGGCCCTCACGCCGTAGGCTAGAGCTCGTGCAGTCCGATGAGAATATCAGGTGAGCACAGTCAAATTAAGGATTCCATTGCCCCATCGATCTGTCCTGTCAGTCACTTCAACATCAGTAGCAACATAGAGTTGTGAAAATTCATAAGTGACAAGTCAACTTACTTGAATCCTTGTGTGTTCTCATTGACGCTAATACAGACACATTCACACGCATCGAGATCCAGAACGGAGCGCAGTCAAACATAGACTAAGTTTGCCTGCAATCGGCCGGCAGACAGTGGCTGCGGAGGGGACAACTGCAGTCGATCAACAGTTGTCTCGATCATGGCTATCTGCGTAAGCGAACATATTCGCAACCGCTGTATTCCGCAGTCATCGCGCAGACTGTAGCGCCAGCCACTGTATGTTTGCGTGCGTTACATATCTGTACTAGAATATATTGTCTGTGTTGATACAGCAGGATAGATGACACATACGCACCGTCTAGAATCTCAACATGGAACTGCAGCCTAGGAACAAGACAATTGGTTGACGATCTAAGGATGTACAGTCGGTTGAGTGTCAGCCGTACATGGGATAACAGGTCGGGGGTCTGATAGACACATTCATTGGGATCTTTCGGCGCAGCGGAACTGTGACGTGCACACGAGATCGCGGAACCCCCAAAATTTCGCTGACCGCAGGTGAAGGTCGAATTAGACTTTAACGCATAACTAGTGTAAGAGGTTTTCCAGATTGGTTAGCTGCGGGCGAGTCGCAATTTCTTGAGGTAATAGTCATGTCTGCTTGCCATAGGTCCAATCCCCTCATCTCTAATAATGACGTCAGTTTCTCGCGAAGAAAATATAGGACAAATCTGCACCTCCTTCCGCAATATTCTGGTAAAATCTTGAATGACTTCGACGCGGTGGGCATGTTACGGATGAAATGGTAAGGCAGCAGTCGCATTTCGCTTGGTGTATTTTCAAAAACCATGGAAGCATGGATATTGTGAATGAGTGGAAAGATAATGTTGGCTGTTCTACCGTTTCGAGCGTTACCTCGATGCCCTGTGAGATGAACCTGGCGATTTGGTTCAGTCAGACAGAGAGGAGAGCGCTGAGTGAACCCGAATTAGTGAATCTCCAGAGTGGATTACCGGTACTGATGGCATTTCGATTATATCTGGTACTTGCGTGTAGAGCATCATATGTAAGTCTTCGCATAAGAATTAAAGCTTCAATGAATCTGACGAGATTTATTTCGACGGATCGTACGACATGGCCATATGTTGCAAACTGCGGGACATGCCAACCTATGCCAGCGTGGTGTCTGAGCCACGAGAAGTCAGCAAACAGGCCCCTCAGTATAATTGAGGGACGTGCTAGTAAATTTTTTTCCATATTGAAGAGCTCGAGAAAACAAGGAGATGGCATCATTCTCCCTTTACGACCGGCTCAGTCAATGAATGCCCTACTGATAGTCCACTACTATGAGTATGACCCAGGATAGAGATATCTTTGAGGATCTACGCCGTGTTCGCATGTCGTTCACAGTTCAGCCTCTCAAGTTGGCCGAGTCTCGGGCATGGCGACCAGTGCAGCGGACATGAGAATAATGGCGATGTTGGGGGCCGAGCTTGAGACCATGCTAGAGTAGAATTTAGAATAAAGCGACAAATAGGGTAACTTTGTTTGGATTACCTAACGCTCGAACGCGCTTGAACTGAGCTGTTCATACATACGTTCACCTCTTCAAGTTTGTTCGTTGTGTACACCAATCCGCTCGTTGCTCTTTTCACGCTCATTCATGACAACCCGCGTGCGCTACCGCGAATGCGATGTTCCCGTCTTCACTCCTCGCACTCCGATGTCGTCCCAAGCGACCGTTCGTCGCACGAAGACACTTGTTCGACCCGAGCGCGGCGTCGCTCCCGTCCCGCTGATCAACCCACAGTCCGCTCATCTTCCCTCAGGCTCTCACATTCATTCCGAGGACGAGACAGTCGACGCTTGGCGCATTTTCTCTCGCATTGCCACTTTTTGGGCTCCCACTATTTTACTACGCTCTGTGGGTGGACTCAACGATCAGCATAAGATCCAAGCATGGCGGGAGAAGATATCACTCTGTTTTATTATAGTCTGCCTCTGTGGTGTTGTGGGTTTCATCACCGTTGGTTTTCAGAAAGTCCTCTGTCCAACGACAGTTCAGGCCAACACCGGCAGATATGTCGGCATAGGCACCGTGGACGGGGTGCTTGGCGTCCAAGGCTGGATGATGAATGTTACCGCGAATGAGGACTATTCGGGTGTGAACTTTACTGCGCTGCTACAGTATCCGGGACAAGACATTACGACCCTCTTCCAACGGGACGCTGAGGACTATCCGGCATGCCGTGGACTTCCTTTCCGTGCTGCGGCGGAAGACCCATGTAACTCGGTGACGGAATGTCCTCTTGGTCCGTTGTACTCGAGCCCGACGTTCTCTACTATTGGGCTCACGAACACCTCTTTCGTCGTGGGGTATGACTGGAGTCAGGTTGCAGCGCTGAAGAACTACTTCGTGATTGATGGTGCCGTGCTCAATATGAACAGTTACATGAAGCTTCATCCAAATCGTATTCGCTCGGATGCGCTAGATGCTACAATCCGGAATGTACTGCTTGCGCCCGGGAGCAGTGGACGCGATGCGACGCGGCTCTTTTACTATCGCGCTGATATCCGAGCGGCGGTGCCGTGCATGATGCAGCGCTACTATGCAGGCAACATTGACAAGATCACGCCGGGGTGCCTTCTCTCGGAACTGGTACTCTATGCTGGCCTCGTCATCGTACTCGGGCTGGTGCTCATTCGATTTATGCTAGCATGTATCTTCTCATGGTTTGTTTCGGCGCGGCTCTGCAGCCCACCCGATAGCCACAAGCTCAATAGACACGCTATCAGTCCCGCTGTATTACCCGGAGGAGCAAACGTGTCAATCAACAATGTTCATGGGACGGCACCGTGGGCGGGACCTGCGGGATCAAAAAAGCTCATGAGACCTGGTGGCAGGCACACACCCGAGGGCAATGCAGCACCGATTATGAGTCTCGCTCAGATTGGTGCTGAACTCTTCGCAGTGTGCCTTGTGCCGTGCTATTCGGAGGGAGAAGAATCATTGCGAACGACGTTAGACTCCATTTCGACGACAACTTACGCAGATTCTCGTAAACTTCTGTTCGTTGTGGCAGACGGAATGATAACTGGTGCGGGAGAAAAGCGAAGCACACCAGACATTTGTGTCAGCTTACTGGAGCCTGATCCACGGTTTGGAAATCCGATACCCATGAGTTACATCGCCGTTGGGGCAGGTGCGAAAGCGGAGAACAGAGCCCTAGTGTATGCCGGTCATTATAGTGCGTCAATCATGTTCTGAGCGCAATTTCAACGCTGATATTGTTGTTGACGGGCTCATGTAGCCGTCGCCGGACGCCGAACGCCCACGGTCATCATTGTCAAGTGTGGTACTGAGAAAGAAGCATTCACGGAGAAGAAGCCGGGCAACCGAGGCAAGCGAGATAGTCAACTGATTTTGATGAACTTCTTCTCTTGCGTTACATACAATGATCGGATGACGCCTCTTGACTTCGACCTCTTCCGAAAGATACACATTCTGATGGGTGTTACGCCGGACTTTTTCGAGGTTTGTCTCATGGTGCGTTCAAGGCATATTTTAACAAATCTTGAGACTGAGGAATACGCTAGGTTGATGCAGACACGAAGGTATTTCCTGACTCCCTTTCGTACTTGGTAAATTGCATGCATCATGACCATCTGGTTATGGGTGTATGTGGAGAAACTCGCATAGCTAACAAACGACAGTCGTGGGTGACAGCTATCCAGGTCTTTGAGTACTTTATCTCCCATCATCTTGCCAAAGGTTTTGAATCTGTGTTTGGCGGAGTATCGTGCTTGCCGGGCTGCTTCTCAATGTTCCGACTTAAAGCTCGCAAAGCTACAGGCGACGACTGGGTCCCTCTGATTACAAAGCCTGAGATTGTTCAGCAATACAGCCAGAGTATAGTCACGACACTCCACCAAAAGAATCTCTTGTTGCTGGGCGAGGACCGCTTTCTGACGACGATTCTGTTGCGCACTTTCCCCAATCGCAAGATGATTTTCTTACCACAGGCTCGCTGTCGGACCGTCGTCCCAGATACTTTCTCTGTACTTCTCTCGCAGCGCCGTCGTTGGATCAACTCGACCATCCACAACCTGATGGAGCTTGTCTTAGTGCGAAACACTTGCGGAGCGTTTTGCTTCAGCTTTCAATTTGTCGTGTTTATGGACCTGGTCGGGACTGTGGTTCTGCCTGTGGCGATAGGTTTGACATATATGTTGATTGGGAGTATGTTCTTGGCTCCTCCGAGTACCTTCGAAGAAGCCATCCCACTCATTCTCCTGGTTGCGATCTTGGGTTTACCTGGTATCTTGATCATGCTGACAACCCGCAAGATTGTCTATGTATTCTGGATGTTGATCTATCTACTCGCCTTGCCTATCTGGAATTTTGTATTGCCCGTCTATGCATTTTGGCATTTTGACGACTTCTCTTGGGGCGAGACTAGGTGCGTCGTCTTCGGCGTTAATTTACATGATAATCAAGTTCTCATTACCCATAGAAAGGTGGCAGGAGAAGCCAAGAGTCAAAGTCACGATCACGGCGCTCCAATAGCTGCAGGGCCTTCCATACCTTTGCGTCGATGGGAAGACTGGGAGCGCTCTAGGCTCCGAAAACTTCGTCGAGAAGAAAGACGTAGGAGGGATCTGGAACGTATGAACAACATGTACACGTCTGTCAACGGCTCACTTGGTATCGGAAGCTGTACATTCAGCCAATACGGTGGCTCCGACACTGTGTCTACCGTCTCTTCAGAGGACGATCAATGGCAAACGCAAATTGGCGGGTATAACGAGAACAGTTCGGCCTATCCACCTCCACCGGTTGGTCTGATCGATCACTCGTTTGATAGCGCAGAGACAGTTGCAGGCGAGGACTTGAAGATGATGCTCGATGTCGGTCTTGAGGACGAGCCATCGCCGTCACATTCGCCGCTGTCATCTCATGCACAATCGTTTCAATTATCGAACCAGGGGCATTCAATTAGTGCGGGTATCATGGTACCGCTTCCTCAGTTAACGACACCCGGCATCATCTCCAGGACGCCTGTAGACCACTTCTCCACCATCATGGCCATCAAACCGGCGGCGAGGCAAATAGCTAGATCTGGATATGAACCACTGGGTCCTCTGGGTCCTGATATGATTTTAAACGACCACGCGATGCAGTGACATACCTACTACTTATGACTTTATACTATGAAATGAACTGGTGTGTGCTCGCCATTCGCGTCCCCGTGTCAATCGAGCCCTCCGTCTCTTACTTGACATAGAAGATGCGGACGCCCTTGAATCCACATTCACGTCGACACTACCCCCACTCTCGTAATCATTACTTCCATTCATTATTGACATGTTCTTGAATGTCGCTCTGTTGTATATATGTATGTTTTAATCGCCGACATGCATTCGAACGATCTTAAATTTGCAAAAATTGAGAGAATAAAGCGAATAAAGATGGAGAGTAGACAATCTCATCTAAGGGATTTTTTTCGTCTTTCGTGCCCTGCAAACTTGAAAAATGGCCTACCAGGAAATGCGCTGTGAGCCTGTGACAGCTTGTTTCGCATTCGTATATTCAACATCTTATCCGGGCAAGCCTCGGGGTTTCCATTTTTGGCCGTTGCATGGATCCAATGACGCTTAACCGTATCAGGATTGGTTGCGTTTCAATTGCCCGGTCAGTGGTGTCGTGGATTGTATCCCCACCAACAACTCGGAACAGCACCGTCCTTTCTCTTGCGATTTGCACTGTGCAGCAGCAGCAGACCTTTAAAGTCGTCTTATTCTCCTTCGTTCTTTCCTGACTATGTCGTCAACCCTCGTCGAATCCCCTGTGTCAACTTTACATCTCCCGGGCTGCACGCGGCAGCCAATTGAGGATGTCCGAAGATCTCCTTCGCACGAGGGTTCTATAGAAGCACAGCTTATCCAAGTGGCCCAGGTAATGCCCCGTTCATTCAGTCCGTGAGTGTGCTATCCCTCGATCCTGACTTCCGGGCCCATAGCTCGTCGTATTGGCGTCACAACATCACACAAGCGAGTACAATCGTCTCAAGTATGGGCCTACAGGTGTGTTATATTGCCTATGCATACCAACCCAAGGCCTTATACCGCCTTGGCCTAGGATCTCCAATGCTCTATGTCCCTTTCTCGATTCAAATGCCCTCTCGCGTTAAACAGTTACAAGAACATCAGGCGCGTTGTGTTGAGCAGCAGGCTTGGTGGCTGTGTGAGAAGAAAGTGCCAGTACAATCTGTTGTAATGGTGGAAGTCGAGTCGGACCCATTACAGCCTCGCCTTCGCCGTCCTTCGTCCTCGAACAACTTACAAGATGAATTGACTGCTGCCATGTCCGAGTCCCTTCCTCGCAACCTTCGTCCCATTCCGCCGATGGCGAGTGACGTCCAAATCAAGACGTCTGATACACACCCCATCAAGTATGCACTCATCGCTCTTTGGTTTCGCCTTACTCATTTCTGTACCACCTGTTAGCGTCTCTATGGTGATCCCGTTTGAAGTCCTGCAGGCCATGTCCTCACAACTGATTCGGACTGACGACCGTCATCCCGTCATGTTTGAACTCTCATCGACATATTCTCTTGACCGTATATCTGTTCACACACCTACCCCGCCACCGGAAATCAACGTGCCTGCATTGCCTACTCCACAGTCTACACTTCTTTCGACCTCGGCCCCTGCTTCAAGCGCAACATCACGCCCACCTATTTATAGCTTGACACGGCCCACGAAGTTCAGCCACTTCCTCTGGACGAATGCAGCCCTTAGAAGGGGTTTATACTCTGCCGTAAATACACACGCGAAGCGAGTACGGCCGAAACCTACTGTCCCAAATGACTGCCCATGCGGATCATCTGATCGTGGCCTCAAATCGCAACCGCGTCGAAGCAATGGTCCACAGCGACCTTTGGACTCGTCCGGTTCTAATGATTGTGAGAAGGGAGAAGACTGTAGTCTTCCACGATCTCTCTCGGCACCAGTTAGCACCGATTTGAAGCAGCCTCCACTTGCAGCACAGCCGTGCGTTACAATTGCGTTCAATTATAACATTCATGCTGATATCATCGTATCACTTAGTGTCCCTCCGGAACTTGCGTCGACTTCGCTTCCGGACTTGAGTTCATCCTATTCATCTTCCCAACAACCATCTGTCAGCTTAGGTAACCTTCTGCTCTCTTCCTGCCCAGGTAAAAAAGGTACAGATTGATCAGCGACGTTTTAGCCGTTTGCGCTAATATATTGCTGTTTCTTTCTACCAGTCAGATTAAGCGGTCCAGTGAAGGGTCGTTGTGGGGTTTGCCGAGACCTGCGACAAGATATGCAGCGGATCAAGGAGTTTGGAGTGACTTGCATTGTATGGTGAATCTAATCTGCTTGCATGAGATATTGCAAATTGATCTATCGTCTTGATATAATCTGTAGTTGTCTAGATGACGAAGAGCTTCAGCTGCTCGGGGTATCATGGTCAGAGTACTGGCGAATCGCAGATGAGATGGGCATCGATATTCTTCGGTGGGTCATGTTACTATGCTTTAGACACTGTCTGACCTAAAATACATACAAGTATACCAACCCCTGAAGGCCTTGTACCGGCGTCCTTAGACACGTTCGATGCACAACTTACTTTGTTGATTCAGCAGTATACCCTCCATGGCGCCTCGGTGCTCGTTCACTGCCGCGGTGGTGTGGGTCGCGCCGGCCTCATTGCGTGCTGCTGGGTCCTAAAGCTTGGTTTGTGCGGCGGTGTAGAGGCAGAGGCACCCTCCACGATTGCGTATACTGCACCAGAGAACCTGCCCGAACTGAAACCGTCGCGGACCAACCCGGACCCACCGTCTGCATCTGTTAACCAAGCGACAATACAGCTAGTGGAACGCGTGATCGTTTTCATACGACGCCGGAGGAGCCCAAAGGCAATAGAAACATACGAGCAAGTCCAGTTTCTCGTCGATTACGTTGAATTCTTACGAAAGAAGACAAATGCGGCCACGGATTCAGAATTCATCCTAGACTGGGATACTCAGATAGATTGACTAGATACACGCCTTTCTGCATAACGTCTGGAACAGTGGGATTGGAATGTTGTACGTGTCAGTATTTATGATTGCATATTTGTTGTATACCCCATACTTGCTCTATGCATTATTGTACGCATCGATGGATATACCCTACATTGTTGTTTTGTACATCTTGTTTTACATAATGGACTAGGTTGATGTGATGTTGTCCTTCGATATTCCTCTTTCTGTCCTTTTGTACAGGCTGTGTAGACGCCGGGGGAGACGACAAGGACAGTGTACATGTACATCCCCGAGTCGCTAGAGTCTCAATTTTATCATCGTCGCTCTTCGCCACGACAACTCAACACATTTTCCAGCGCATTTCCATCGCTTTGGTGTTTCGTCTACCAATATGTTTCGTGGAAGCCCAGGCCGACACCCGGGCCCATTAGCATCGACCCACCCCGGTCACCAAATATTGATGCATGCAACGCATTGAAATCCCATCTTTCCCTCCAAATGGCCTGCTTGGCGGCCTTGATCTCCTGACTATTCTATGCCGTCCTGATTCGGCTTCATGAAATGCTTTTCGTTAGCTCTATTCTTCGTCGGGGCCACTTGTATGAACCTCGAGTAGCTTCTTCGTGACCTTCAGCGAGCAAGAGGTGCCCTCTTTGACAGTAGATATGGTGATATCTACCGGTCGAACATCATTTGTACGTCTTTATTATCTAGTGAAAACTCTGATACGCATACACACTCCCAGGCTCAACTTGCGATTCGATGTCGGCTCAGAAGTCCACTTCAGCCCGATGCTGGTTTTGCTCTTGACTCTCTGGTCGCGGTATCCTACAACTCAGTCTCTGGCTCCTGAGACTATCCAGCTACACTCTCAACATTATACCAGCCTGCTCACACATCAACAAGATCCTCACCGTTGTACGGTTCGCGTGGCTGCAGAGGGTCTTTGTGAGAGTACAGGATTCCTAGCGCTGTCTCCCCAGAGATGTTACCTTTCTTCTGAATCTTTTTATTATTTGCAAGGACCCAGCCCTATGTAGGCAATAGATACGGGTTGGCAACTAGGGTATTACGGATATGACTGTAGCGGAGACATTTGTAATTGACTTGCCAGGAATTTAGGATCGTGTGCGTTCCTGCTCCGCCTGTTCAAGCGTGGTGGACTGAAACTGGAAATGTCCGGTATGTCCCTAAGGTCGTTTCATCTCGCTATCTATCAGTGCGCTGACCATCCAGCAGACTTGTACCTACCAGATGATGCGGATAATGTTGGGGGTGGATGAGGCGTGGAATCATGAAATATTAATACCAATCAGGTCTCTTCATAACATGCAGGCTGAGAATGGCTGAGAAAGTGATCAGAACGTGCTATGTAGTGAACGCAGAAATAGGGGGAGGGGAGGGTGGCTCATCCGGACGATCACGCTGCACAAGCCGAGCGCGTTTCGTGGTTGTATGGACGATGTTCAGACTTGACTTGACCTCAATCATTTTCACTCAAGGTACAGATATCTGTAGCTTTTGAAATAATTGAAGCAAAGCTAACCTAAAGCTCCTGTCGAGGTAAGTAGTCGCTATGTGCACAAGATGCTGACTACTAGATTGTCTTGCCAACCGCAATGAGAATGACACTTTCAAGTCGGGAAGGCACCCGCTGACAAGGTAAATAGATCCCGAGGCCGGAAGACTTGGCACATAACGTGCATGGCTCAGGAGGATATAGGTTAGCAAGCACTTGCTTATGTTCATATCCTCTCTGCGAATACGTTATAGATGCGAAGTGGTCGACTTGCCACAGCTCGGGTTGGGACAACACGCGTCCCGCATCTCCAACAGCTCGATCCGCATCCTTATAAAGGCACACTATGGTAGGGATGTCGAACTTCTACTGGCTCTCCTAACTCTCGAGTTCACAAGCACTTTGCGGCACGTCTTGAGATCGTGACAATGCCTATTTCTCCGTTGGATGATAACAGTATTCAGTTCTACTACGATGACAGCGGCGCGCCCGCTGGTTTGGATAACTATGCTACCTTCGTGCTGGTACATGGCGGCATCTTTCATTCGCGTGAGTTGCACCTTACTTTGCATTATCATCTCTTACTGATGTCCAGTTCACAGCAATTTTTACCCCCATGTTCGAGCACGCCGCGAAGTATGACTTGCGCCTAGTAGCTCTAAATCTCCGCGATTATCCCTACACCACACCCTTGTCTACTGCCGAGCTGGATGCACTGAAAGGCGAGAAGGAAGCTCAGAGGGCTCAAGTCCGAGCCTTCGGTTCAGAGATCGCTTCTTTCCTTGCGTGGTATGTCCAACACGAGCACATTCCACCAATCGCTTTCTCGCCTAGCGGGGACTCAATATCTGGAGGTATAGCGCTGCTGGGATGGTCTATGGGAAATTGTACAACCATCTCTATGCTGGCAAATGCAGATAACTTGCCGGAAGATATTCAGAGGCGGCTTGGCCGCTACATGAGGACATTAGTCATCTACGGTCAGTGCTTTGATCTAAGATCGGTACATGTCGCTAATACCACTTGCATCGGACGAAGATCCCCCCTGCTTTGCTCTCGGGATGCCGGATGCGGGACGTTTCATACCTAAAGCTCTTGACTTGCAGACAGGTCCTGAATACGACATGGGGCAGATGTTTTCTCTCTGGGTGTCCAGCTATTATGCCCATTCGCCTACCTTCCTATCATCAATCGAGGATGCTAATGAAGCGCAACTTGATGCTGGCGTAGTGGAAAAACCGATCCAGGATATCCCAGATCAGACCCCTACAGTGTCTCGCATGACCGAGGCCCAATTAGCAGGATGTGTCGACTATTCTGTCTTGGGCAGGTCATTCAGGGCTCTTATTGGTGTCGATCGAACGGTGTATGACAACAACACACGCCACGGGTTGTTTAGCAAGCCCATTTGGCCTTGCTTGAAGGTTGAGTATCTTTGGTTTGACATGTCGCCCGGAGAAGTTGTCTATCTGGTATGGTACATTCACAAACTGCTGAATGAAGCGCGTCCTGTCGAGAGTCGTGAGATCAACGTGAGGAGGATTGAAGGAGCGAATCATTTCGTAAGTGACATCGCAGCGTTTAGGAGGAGAGGTTCTATGAACTGAATAGTACGCTTGCAGCTCCACTGGGAGCACCCCGAAGCCACTGTCAAACTCTTCGCGAGCCTGATGAAATAGCTCTCTTCTAGGGTCTCATCTATTGAATATTGAATGACGAGATTGCATGCTGCGCGCTAAGGGAGATGGTTACATAGATCTGTCGTACGTGCAGTGATGTGTACATGATTGAGTCTACTCGCAAGTGAGCTCGGTTCCTTACATGGATTCGTAATCAACAAAACGTAGATCCCTGGAAGGTGAGCAGACTGCGCCCTACGCTGGCTGTGGCGCGGCC